CTGTCGTAACAGTATGGTTCACAATATTAACAAGTAAAGTACTCTCGTGTAACTCAGAAGTTACGAAAGTGCAAATACAGTCTACAGTCGTTACTTTCATCATTAAGCTGAATATATTGGGATCAACCAAACTATAAAACTTCTGGCAATATTCAAAGTTAGTTCTCAGAGAAAGAAATGACCAAGTTATTTCGTATGGAATAAACGTCACCAGTAGTAAGTTCTAAAATAACCATATTGAGAAACATACCTTGTCAACAGTTTTATTGCTACATAAAATCGTTGCGTCTAACTGAATAAGTAACATGTTAGTCCGTTGTGTTTCGATTAAGTGAAGTTCAGAAAAATGTTTAAATGGGAGAAAAACAGAATATATTTTTGGATCCAATTCCAAACTTATATTTGTGCTTAAAATACCAGATTTGTGTTGAAGATATAACATTTTGCAAGATAATAAACATATATAAGCATACCTTATTTGAGTAGCTGGCACTTCAGTGCCCCCATCAACTGTCTTTCTAATATCTTGCGACAATTAAACAACTTGGTAATTTAACTGTTAAAAAAGTGCCTTACTAGCGATAACTAACTAGTTAACACAGGTTAGTCTTTTATTACAGTTGGTAAAACTCTTGCTTGGCGTGCGAAAAGTCCTGAGTTCGAGCGTGAGCTCAAGAAACGCAGAAGTGGGATTACCACAACAGTGTGAATAATCAATACAGGCACGAGCACAATCACTGTAAGTATTATAACAAAATAAGTGAAATAAGGAACCAGTGATCCACAGATGGAAAGCAGATGATCGAAACTTTGGGATTTGCAAGGCCTTGGACTATAAATGTAGCTTTGTGAAGCCGGTTGCATTGCAGAATTAAAGCTGTTTGTTTGTTTTGAATTTCGCGCAAAGCTACATGAGGGCTATCTTCACTAGCCGACCCCAACTTAGCAGTGTAAGACTAGAGGGAAGACAGCTAGTCATCACCACCCACCGCCAACTCTTGAGTGTTACGTATTAGAATTTCAAATGGCCTAAAACTGAGATAACTGATAATTTAAATTTAATAGTTAAATTGTATTTTGGATTTAATATTTAAA